CCCCCCCCCACGTCTTTTGTTTCTCTTGTTAGTTTTTTTCCAAAGTATTTCATTTGCTGCTTGGCTATGGTGATTGGTATGGTTTTTCTTCTCTCTTCTGCTCTTCTCCTGTCCTCTCCTTGTCCCTCCCCTGCCCTCCTCCTCTTCGTTCCCTTTGCTGCTGTAGAGAAATTTGACATTTTTTGTATGTTCATATATCCTGCGCTTTTGCAAAATTGGCTGACTATATCCATTGTTTGTTTGCAGATCTTTAGGGTTTTGCAAGTATACTCTATGGTTTGTGTTTATGTTAAATTGTTTTTTAAAAAACAAAACATTTTAAACAACATTATCTCCATATAACCTTTGCCAAACCTCCTTCCTACCCCAACCCCCTCCACCCCCTGTCGTGAACGTTGTTAGTTGTTAGGTGCCGTCAAGTACGGCGACCTTATGAACGGTAGATCTGAACCCCGTTCTATTCTGTGCCATCCTGATGCACAAGACCCCATTGTAACAGTCACTATGTCGGTCCACTTGGTTGATGGTCCTTCTCTCCTTCACTGACCCTCCACCCTTCCCAGCATCATGTCCTTCTAAATGCAAAACTGTGTTAAAAAAACTCCAAAATTGAAAAACCTTACGATGTAGTTTTTGCAGCATAGTTAATTTAGATTTATAGTTGTTGGCATTGACTGTCTTAGACTTATCTTAACATAATTCAAACTCTTACTGTCATCAATTTGGAACTGACTAATAGCTCACCCTCCATCCGGTTTCTCAGGCTGTCAGTCACATGAGAGGAAATACCCATCTTTCTCTTTAGGAGTGGATCATGGCTTTGAACTGCTAGAGAGGTGCGACTTTCGGGTTAGCAGCACAACTCCCTACTGGTTATATCAACAGGGTTTCCTTGAATATAACTAATAAAGACAATTATGAATATTAAATAAATACATGTTACTTTCATAATCACAGTAAAATATAGCTTATTTTCTTTTTCTCTAGTTACGTTTATATCAGATAATGAAAGTTTTAACCCTTCATTGTGGGAGGAACAGAGGAAACAGCGGGCTCAAGTGGCATTTGAATGTGATGAAGACAAAGATGAAAGGGAAGCACCTCCCAGGGTGAGCCTATTCCTTTTCTCCCTTCAATTTTTTTTTCCCCCAAATTTTGTGTGTGTATAATCAAACAGGATCTGACTGGTACAGGAGAAGATTGCCCCCCCTTCTCCAGCGGAGCATCTGGTGGATTCGAACTGCATACCTCTGGGATTGCAGTGCAGCTTCTTGCCACTAGGCCAGCCTTTCTCCCTTCAACTTTTAAACACATCTGTGGATACTAACTGGATGCTTTATTTTGGAAATGCGAAAGACTTACTTGTTGAGTTTCTTACTTTCAAGGAACTTACTAAACCATTACATTTCACACGTGTGGCAGTTTGATTGGATTATAAAACTTTGTGACTAAATTTATTGTATGCATAAATGTAGAAGAAATTAGACTAGAGCAAATAATCAGAACTTGATCTTAAATTGCTGTTATGTACCATTCAGTCAGATTTGACACTAGTTGACCCTACACTGGGTTTTCAGAGGCAGTAAGTGACATGAGAGATTGCCCATCTTTTCTCTAGTGGAACAGCTGGTAGTTTTGAACTACATGCCTTCACTTGCAGCACAGCTCCTTACTACTCATTTACAAGAACTCTCTAGTGTCCTTTTTATGTAAAAACAACATCTACTTTTTGAAAATTTGTTTGATTGCCTGGCTTTGCTTTTGTTTTATTTTGGTTATCTGAAGTGACTTTTTTTCCTTTTTTCTTTCTTTAATGGCTTATATACATCCTAGTAAGGACTTCTTTGCAAGAAACATTTCTGGATTTTATGGATTTGCAAATATGTGCCACTGTCAAAATGACACTAACAAATACATATGTTCAGGTTACTTCAAAGTGTGTTTATTTCCCCTTTATGTAAGTTGTGTATTTACAAATGATAACAATTACGTTTATCCTTAAAAATTTGGTTCAGAAAAAGTAAGTATATGAATGAATTTGATGTATATCTGGATACATATATATACCTGGAAAATAAAACCTGTTTCATAGCCAAGTAACAGAATTTTTTATGTAATCTACATTGTACTTCTTCAAATGGAATTTAAGTATGCTGAAAAATCTTTTAGAATGTTCTGTAACCTGTGTGAAGTCTTTTGCTGTTATTGTGATACTAGAATTACCTATTTGACTATTTTGTGAAAACCATATTTTTGTAAAACTCTTGCAGTTTAAAATATTTTTAAAATTCTATCAATCTGTTTTCATAGTTGTTTCTTTGAACCATGGAAATCCACATAATCTGGATAAATTATAGGTTAAATTTGTTTTAGGCTAAAAGTATCAATATTTTAAATTTTGCTTATTCTGTTTCTCTAGGAAGGAAATTTAAAGAGATATCCAACACCATATCCAGATGAGCTTAAGAATATGGTCAAAACAGTTCAAACCATTGTACATAGGATGAAGGATGAAGAAACCAGTGAAGATTCTGGAAAAGATAAGAAACTACATGAAGATCAGCAAGTTATAAATAAAGATGTGGGTGTGAAGGTTAGAAAATCAATTCAAAAGAAATAAAGATTAATTCAGTTTAGCTTCTCTAAAATGTTAAACTATAATTGATACAAATTAAAAATAATAATGATGTATGCTGAATTGTGCTTTCAGATTACAGTTTGCTGTTAGCTACCTGAATTGAAACACGTACACAAACTCTTAACTGCTATGATCATCATCTCTCTGGCTATAGCATATCTGAATGGTCAGAGTAGTAGTATTGCTTAAACAAAGAATAAGATAATAAAAGTCAGAATACTTATCACTATGAAATTATTTTTTTATCCTCTTTGATTAAAATACTAGTCTCGTCTCTTCCATTCTAATTTACATATAATTGCTATGATAGATCTTTGACATTTCCTTGGAATGTTTGAGAAACATTGACTTATCTCTGATTTGTATGTTCCTTTTAGTTCGCTCCTCTCTCCCATTATATCACTGTAACAAGTTTATCATGTCACTGTTGTTATTAAAGGAGCACATAAGACCTAGCCTGTAGATTGTTGTGCTGCAAATCAAAAGGCTACATTTCCAGGAGTTCAGATCCACCAACCAATCTTTGGGAAAAAAGTGGGCGATCTCCTCTCAATGCAATTTATAGTCTCAGAAACCTGACAAAGGGTCACTGTGAGTCAGAATTTACTTGATGTCAATGAGTTTGATTTTTGTCCTGGGAGTGGTTAAGCACTCAGCTACTAATAAAAAAATTCAGGAGTTTGAACCCACTAGCTACTCTGTGGAGAAAGTCTTCTTCCATAAAGATCTATAGCCGGTTGTAATTGTTGTCAATAAATTGTACCCCTGTAAAACTTAGATTGGCAAGAACCCACTAGCTACTCTGTGGGGAAAGTCTTCTTCCATAAAGATTTATAGCCAGTTGTGATTGTTGTCAATAAATTGTACCCCTGTAAAAATTAGATTGGCGAAATATCAGATGATAATACTCTTAAAACAACAGCAGAAGAGAAGCTACTGACGCTCATTATGTTCAACTAAATAATCTATGGGATTTGATTCTTTGGCTTTGAATAGTTAGCATCTCGGTTTTATGAGAGATCCCAGTTAGTTGCCCTTAAAACTGAGTTGTGCCTCTCTTTTCCCTCCATGTCCATAGCAAAGTGCCCAGAATATTATGAGTGACTATCCAAGGCACAAATGGTCTCTATTAACAGAGGAAAGAGAGTCAGGACTAGGGGCAAGCTATGAAATGTATGACTGCCTCATTTTCCACAAGACCTAAAGAACTGAGTAGTGCCTGGCTACCATTCCTGAACATTGTTTCATAAAAGAATACTGACTTAAAAGGGAGAAATGAAGAAGAGAATTGTTAATACTTGTGGACCCCTAACTTTCTGGAGGCATGGAGAGTAAATAAATAATCTGAAATGATTGCCCTGAGGTAATCTTTAACCTTAAAATATTTAAAATCTTTAAACCTTAAAATATTCTCTGATACCTTCTAAAACTTAACAGTAATTTAGCTTAACTAGTAAAAGAAGTTTGCCTTGAGTATTGTGATGGTTTAAGAACTACTCTGTGGAATCAAATTGACAATAGCAATTCAAACAATCCTACAGTGAGTTATGTTAATGAGGAAGGAACAATGCAGAGTGGTTGTTGAATGAATGCTGTCACTAAATGGTACTGTAGAAACTTTCATTGATCTGTGTTTTGCTGTGTGTATTCTTAACAGCAACAAATAAATTTTTAAAATAGTATCTCTACAAGACTAAATGGTCTCATATACCCTAAAGCAAAGAGACTGGAAGAGGGGTACAGGGAACCTAGATTAATTGAAATGGACCAACTGGAGCTGAAATGGTGAGAATATTTGATAGTGGAAAATGTATACTGTGGAAATTATTAAATAGCAACCTAATTTGCTATGGACACTTTAATCAAAAGCACAGATATTTTTTAAAAAATTTCCAGTATTGGCAATTCTTTGTCCTTTAGGGTTGCTATAAGTTAGAAGAATCAACTCAGTGACAATGATTTAGAATTACTGTAGGATCTTTGGATAGTACAGATGATTAAAATGCTCGACCTTAACTCAAAGGTTGACAGTTCAGGCTCATACAGAGGCGCTGGAGAAGACAGACCTGATCTGTTCCCCAAATGTCAGATCCTTGAAAACCCTATTGAGTATTTCTCCTTTACACATGACATCACCATGAGTTGGAATAAGTGGCAACTATGAACAAGACACATACTGTATATTGCACAGTGAAGAGAAAGAAAACAAGTTAATGCCCTGAGTTGAGCAAAGTAATCCACTCATTTATACTATCTTTGCAATTTTTAAGATGAAGTTAGCCTCAGCTAAATTATAAATGTTAATGAAATTGATGTACCTACTGGCACACCCTGTGGATACAGATGATTCTTATACGTGGCTGAAAGGTAAAGATTTAAGTCTACTCAGACATTTTATATGAAAGACAATTTATACCTAACAAATCAAGCTATTGTAAACCTTATGGAACAGTTTTAGTCATGGAGTCAGCATGAGTTGAAATTGACAGCAACTGGTTACTAGTTAGGGACTTTTGGGGACTACTTATTCCTAAAATGAAGATTTTGTCTGTGACTAAGTTTCAGTGTTTAAAGTCTCCTTGTTTAACATTATCCAGAGTTAGGAAGGTAGAAAATTAGATTTAAAAATTTCATCTCAGTACATTACTAGATATACAATTTAAAGTTCTATTTTTTTATCTTTTATTTAGATTTCAGAAAGTACAAGTCCAGTAAAAAATAAAGCTGATGAAAGAGAAAAATGTGTGATAGGCAACTCTATACAGAAGATCAGTGAACTTGAAGCTGAGATCAGCCCTGTGACTGCACATAAGAAAGTTTCTGAGAACTTGAAGCATATTGGTGACCACAGTGATGTTTTTGAGGTATGGCTTTATGGTTATTTCAGAACAATTCTCAAAGCTTTCAAAATAATACTGTCTTGTTGCTAACTGCCGTATTGATAACTGCCGACTTTATTGAGAAGTTTCATATTTGTTAAGATATCACTTGTTTTATCAGTTTAAACTTTTTAAAGAATTCTTTTTTTTCTCATTTCATTTCTCATCGCTTTGTCAGTTTAAACTTAAAACTTCTGGGGAGCTCTGGTGGCCTAGTGGCAAGAAGCTGCACTGCAATCCCAGAGGCAACCCATTCGAATCCACCAGACGCTCTGTGGGGGAAGGAGGGACAATCTCCTCCTGTACCATTCAGATCTAATTTGACAGTACACACAAATAATAAAAAAGATTTAAAAAAAAAAAAAACAAACAAACCCAAAACTTCTATACTCAGAGTTATCAAATGTTTACTGTAAATTACCCTCTAGAGATTCTGTCTGCTCTGATTTCTTTTTTTTTTTTTACTTGTTAACATTGTTTATTTTAAAAATATGATACTTTTGTTATTCTGAGAAAACGATTTTTATCCCACAGTTTGGAAGAGAAGTGTATTTAACTCATTAAAGACAATGAGACAGTTTCTTGTGGAGAGAAGAAAGGTGACTAAAGTCAGAAATGCCATTTTCCCTCCAAACTTTTCTAAGAACTTGCCTTCCTCATACACATACTAACTGCACCTTCATTTGAGTGCCGCTTAAAGTACATAATTATGTTTGCTTTTGTTTCTGTAACAAATATGAAGCGTAAAACTTGCTGTAGTTCTGATTCACTTAAGTATTTTTGAAGTTCAAGTTATTGTTTCCTTTTTTTGACAGTTTTATGGCTTTATTTAATAATAAGCTATTCTTAGTTTTCATCACATTAATAATCTGTAGAATTTTGAAAGTAGTGACCGGTACATAGGTAACCAGTGTATACAGCTTATTTGGGGAATCTTCATCGTCATGTTTTCTGGACAACTGTATATGGATGCAGTATGGGACATTCCTTTTTTCTTTGTCCCAGACTGCTTTATTAAGCCTGGTATCAATGCGAACATCTTATATTCCCATCTTCTTCATGGTAAATTTTCTAATCTCCTTGAGTGCTCGAGCGGCACACTTCTTAAATTCCACTCCATGCATGTGCTTGTGAATAATGATAGTGTAATCTCTGATCACCATTTCATTAATGGCAGAACGGCCTTTCTTTTTCTCATCACCCTTTACAGAGGACATAGCACTGAGACTAGACTGGAAAGGAAGAGCAAGTTATCTTTTTCTTAAGTGGTAAATCTTACTAGATAGATTCTTCTAGAACTTTAATAGAAGCTATAACTTTAAAAATGCAAAAGCAAAATGGCATCATTGAATCGTAATTTACACCCTATATAATTCATTCCTTTAAAGTGTGTGGCTTTAAAAATATTTAGTGGCTTTAATGGCTTTTAAAATATTCAAGTTGTGTAGCTTTTACCATAATAATAGTTTTAGAACTTTTTTTGTTCATTCCAAAAGAATCTTTGCTCTTCCTTAGGTGTCTATCCCCAGATGCTCCCATATCTCACCCAGAAACCATAATCTACTTTAATATAAATGGAATTATAAAATATGTGATCTTTCGTGACTGCTTTTACTTTGCTGTTCTTGTGTTCCTTCAAATCAGAACCAACCCATAACTGACTCTCAGGCAGGTTTTCAGAGGCAGTTAATAGCACAGGAGGAGATTGATTGCCCATCCTTTCCCCACTGAGCAGCTGGTGGAATTGAACCATGTGCCTTCAAGATTGCAGCACGGCTTCTTCCCACTAGGCCACCAGTGTTCTTACTTTACATAAAGTTTTAAATTTATTTGTGTTGTAACGTGCTTCATTGTTTCATTTCTTTTTAAACTAATTTTCCCATTACATGCATAGTCCACACTTTATACTTTACAGTTAGTACACACTTGAATACACACATGGATGAATAATGTTCCTGTCAACATTCATATGTAAGTTTTTGCAAAGACGTATCTTTTCATTTTCTTGAATATATACCTAGAAGTATAATTGATAGTTCATATAGTAACTCTGTGTTTAACCATTTGAAGAATTGTCCAGTAGCTTTTCTAAGTGATTGCACTGTTTTAATTCTATTCTTTTCATACATTTTTGGTAGTAATGCAATATAATGAACTCAAAATTCAGAACGGATTCATAGCTGGTTTTGAAAGCCTAAATTACATGAGATGAGATTGCTAATCTTTCTCCCTTAGAACAGCTAATGAATTCAAACCACCAGAGAGGTGCCACCTATCGATTAGCAGCTTAACTATATTCGCTAGGCCACCACTGTTGTTGTTGTTAGGTGTCATCAAGTATGACTCATAGCAACCCTATGAACAAAAGATCTAAACCCTGTTCTATCCTGCATCCCACACTTCCTGACACACCAGAGCCCGTTGAAGCAATCACCATGTCAGTCCACCTGGTTGAAGGGCTTCCTCTCCTTCACCCAACCTTTCCCAGCATCATATCCTTCTCCAAGGATTGTCCCTCCTAGCAGCATGCCCAGAGTATGTGAGACGCATAGCCTCATTATTTTTGCCTCCCAAGAGAACTCTGGCTGCACTCTCTCCAAGACATTTGTTTGTTCTGTTGGGCCACCATAGCTCCCAGGAATGTGATGAGGTTGTAACTATTTAAAATTATTAACTATAACAATTTAAAATTGTAAGAAATATTTTTTTAACTCACAGTTACACTATCTGATGTGGTTGCCACATGTGTTTATTTTAATTGATTAAAATAAAGTTTTGCATTTAGGTTTTTGGTCCCATTAGCCACATTTCACAACCCCAGTACCATCATATATCTAACTAGAAGCTCTGGTCACCTAGTGGTAAAGTGTTAATGGTAAATTGTGCTTGCCAAAGGCAAGTAGTTGGTATCCACTAGCTGTTCCACAAGAAAAAGATGGGCAGTCTTCTCCCATATGAATTAGAGTCTCTGTAAACCTTGTGGAGGGTCAGCTATATGTTGGTTCCAATTCAAAAGCACATAATAGCAGCAACCCTGTAAATAATTAGTGGCTACCATGTTGCAAACACAAAGAATACTTCCATGGCCAGTTTATAATAAGAAATGTAGAAGTTTCTTCCATTTTATTTCCTCTTTTGTAAGTCTTCAGTGGGGTCAGCCTTTTTGTTGTTCTTGTTATGTGCCATCAAGTCAGCATTTGATTTTTCCCCCCTCTCATCCTACTGCTTTGTAGTTAGGATTGGGACTCTGTCCCCTCAGAAGTATCTATAAACCAGGAAAAGGGGACAAGATAAAGGAAATAAGCTGATGTAGTATAAATCTTTGAGACTAGTTGGAATAGTTATCTTTCAGTTGCAGTAATTGTCTTCTGGTACTGTATAGAAAGGTGCCCATATTTTAAAATTCATCAAGAAGAGATTTATGTTAAAAGTATACATATAAATGATTAAAAAGTCATTAAAAAGGACACCTAGCCATCATCTTACTCTCAGTTAGACTTACAAGCAGATAATTTGCACTGATTACCCTAATTACAACTCGAAAACATACTTGACTCCTAATGCTAGCTTGACCACTAGCCATAATGTGATTTTATCTCAACAGTAGCAGAAACCAACCAAGCACCAGTTGACCTTACAGAGAGCCAATCACAACTAGTATCAGGATTTAACATAGAGTATGAAGCAGGACCATTTGCCTAATTTTCCCCAGCAGAATATATGCCAACATTATTATAATAAACACTCTCACAACTACCCTATTTCTAGAATCATGTCATAGTTTCCTTTTCCCAGAAGCGTACTCTGTTAGCGTTACAATCAAAACAATGCTCTTAACAATCTGTTTCCATGAGTACAGATCTCATAGCTCTGATTTCAGTATAGTCAGTTAATAGACTTTGAAAAAATTTCCTTCCACTCACTCTAGTGCAATGCATGACATTTATCTGTACCCATTATACTCGCAGACATTCCACCATAAACACAGAAGTTATTTTGATAGAGTAAATCATAGAGGTGTAAACCCTCTTTTAGAATTTCAGAATTTGAACCTAAATATAAGAATCCAAAATCTTCCAGCTGGCATATTATACTATATTCTACAGTAAAAAATAATGCTGAAGATCATTCAGAAACAGAAGAATTCATAGACTGAAAACTGCTAGAAGTTCAAGTTGGATTTAGAAGACACTGCCACACCCCAGGCCTAGGTTTAGGTTGAGAATGATATTAGCTCTTGGAGGAAATGTCCTTCCATTCCCATTTTTCTAAGTGTTTTAATTAGGAGGAGGTGTTGGATTTTATCAGACTTTTTTTTATCAGTTGACAGAATTGTGTGGTTCTTGTTCTTTGTTTTGTTGTGATGAATTATGTTGATTGTTTTTTTGATATTCTAGTGTATACAGAAAATCCCAAGGACCAACCAAAAAACTCTTGGTCCTAGTAGATCAGTATAGTAGAGTGGCAGGATACAAGATCAGAATACAAAGATGAGTGGGATTCCTCTACAATAACAAAGGAGACATAGAAAAAGAAACTAAGAAAGCATTGCCATTTACAATGTTGTTATTGTTGTTACGTACTGTCGAGTAGGAACTAACCCATCACTGACCCTACGGTGAGTTTTCAGAGGCAGTTAATCACATGGGAGGAAATTGCCCATCTTTGTCCTGTGGAGCGGCTGCCTCAAACTGCCTGCTTTCAGTATTGTAGCACAATTTCATGCCATTAGGCCATTTTCCCAACCACATATTGAGATACTTGGGAGTAAATATAACTCAAGACATGAAAGACCTTTATAAGGAAAACTACAAAACACTTCTGCAAGAAACAATGAGGAACCTAAATGGGAAAATGTCCTCTTCATGGATAGGGAAGACTCAGTATAGTGAAAATTAAATCCTACCAAAAACAGTTTACCTGTTCAGTGCAATCCCAATACAGATACCAAATTCATTTTCAAAGATACATAAAATGTAATCAGCAAGTTTATTTAGAAAAGAAGAGACCTCAAATAAATAAAGCACTTCTTGAAAAAAACAAAACACCAACCAAGAATGAAGTGGAGGCATACATGGTACTGGTACAGTGACAGACACATAGACCAATGGAACAGAACTGTGAACCCAGAAGTAACAAATTGTGACACTTCATGGTTCAAAATCAGGAATAATGTATTTCAGGGGTGCATCCTATCTCTATACCTTTTAAATCTTTATGTGGAAGAGATCATTTTGGAGGTTGGAGTCTTTGAGGAGAAATACACCACCAGGGCTGGAGGAAGACTCATCAACAACTTGAATTATGCAGATGACACAACCTAGCTTGCTCAAACTGAGGAGGACCTAAAGCACTTCAATAAAGATTGAAGCTAAACATCAAGAAAACAGATTCTGATACTTGGCCAATTGCAGCATGATGATAGATGGTGAAAAGATTGAAATGATTAACATCTTAAGTTTGCTTTACTCCACAGTCAACACTTTTGATACCAGCAGCCAGGAAGTCAAAAGATAAATTGCATTGGGACAGTCTGCTGTCAGGGACTTCTCCAGAGTATTACGAATCAGCAATGTCAGTCTGGAGATGAAGGTGCGCCTGGTCCAGGCCATGACCTTGCAGTTACTTACTATGCATCAGAAAGCTGGACAGGGACAAAGAATAATAGAATGATAATGCATACCTTTGAGCTGTGGTGCTGGAGAAGAGTATTGAAAATACCATGGACTGCTATGGGAAGAAACAGATTGTCCTGGAGAGGCAAGGATTCTGAAGATCTGTCTGACATACTTTGGACATGGTGCAAGGAGGAACCAGTCCTTGGAGAAGGGACATCATGCTTGGGAGGGTGGAGAGACAGCACAAGAGAGGAAGACCCTGGATGAGATGGATTGACTCAGTGACTTGGGGTAATGGGAGTAGATGTGTCAAAGTGGCGCTATGAGTCTCAAAAGACTTGATGGCACCTAACAACGACATTAACAATTGTTCACTTTTAACAGAAGTAGCATGGTTTTAGGCTCAAAAGGTAGCTAAGAACATAGTCTTAGGTATTCACCAGTCTCTGTCAGACTGATAAGCCTAAACATTTTAATGATTTTAAGCTTTGTTCTGCATTTATCTCTGACTCTATTTGGAACCCTTTATTGTGATTCATTACAGCGTAATTAACAGTGGTAGCCATGTACTGTTTAGTTTTTCTGGTCTCAAGATTGCGGATGTGTAGGTTCAAGAGGCTTATTCTGTGAACTGTTTCCATGTTGTTTTTTTTTTTCTTCTTCTTCTTTTTTCCCGTTTTCTTTTTTTTATTCTAAATAAAAAACCACACTTTGTGCTGAACAATGGAATATAAAAGAATCAGATGTACAACGATTTTAGACATCTACTATTTCGGGGGGGGAAGTTTACAAAATATACAAAACTTTACAGCAATAGATAGTAAACACTTAAATATTAGGAGGTCAGTACTTATTAATTCAATGGAAGGAGTTAGACTTCAACAACTCTTCTGCTTCAAAGAAGAACCTTCAACTATCAGAGGTGAAGGGGAGGGCAAACTGGGCAGAAAAGGACTATTAGAGAAACATCAACATCAAAACAAATTTCAATTTCATTCTGATATGATGTTTACCATAAGAGTAAGCACAAATGGAAACTAATGCTGCGTCCCCTGCTTCCTGACATTCCTAGGACTGAGGGGAAAGGTTGTGAGGATACTCGTGGATGGACTCTCCACACGTCTCACTCTACGCCAACACTCAGCGTGTCCATCTTCAGATTGCTATACACTTTCCAAGTTGAGTTTGGTGAAATGATGCATAGCAGGAGGTCAGAGAGTTGGCTGGAAAGAAAAGTTATCAGTAGCACAAACTCCACTAGGGAGCAGGTATTTAAGCGTAAAAGCTTGTTCTGGGACAAAGGAGTATGAACAGTCAGAAGTAAAGCCAGAACCTTTACCCATTGCCTGGTTCTTTGGGGTTACCTGTGCTAGACACTCACCTCTTTTCTTCCCAACTAGCCATAAACTACAAAGACTCCATGTTGTTAGTGTTAGCAAGTTGCCTGTGACTCATAGTGACCCTATGTACAACAGCTCAGAAGCCTTCTCTGTCCTGAGCCATTCTCACTGACGCTGACCCACCTTCCCCCACTGCCCTAGTAACTATATCAATCCATCTCATCTAGATCTTCCTCTCCTGGGTTGTCCCTCCACCCTTCTGAGCAGCTTTCATGAGTCTTTGATTCCCCCTCCCACTGTTTTTTGCTTTAAATGGAAAGAGGCCAGTGGTTGCATTGTAGATACCAACTCACAGATTTTTTTTTTGAGATTTTAAATGAAAATTTATAGAGAACTTGAATTACCGTTTATTCATTGTTGCAAATTTTCCTCCCTGCCCCCTGAACCACCCTAGTTTGCTTTTTTCTTTGGGAAAAAAGTTCTTTCATTGTTATACAGTCCTCCTCCTACCCAGTTCACGTTACTGTGCAGCTCTTATTCTGGACTCTTGTCATGCCAATAATACTTAATCATATATTAAACAGTTCTCTCCCTCATCTGATTCAATGCCATGTACATTATTTACCCCTTCTTTTCTTAGTTTGCCTCCAGCCACAATGTTAGCCCTGTTTTATAACAGTTGCATTATGCAGTATTTGTCTTTGTGACTGAGATATTTCACTCAGCATAGTGTCCTCCATGGTCACTCATTTTGTATAATATTTCATGAGCTCATTGTGTATTAGTGCTGCATAATAGTCCATTGTGTGAATATACCACAGCTTCTCTATCCATTCATTTGTTGATGGACACTTGCGTTGTTTCCAACTCTTTGCTATTGTGAACAAAGCAGCAGTAAACATGGATGTGCATACATCTGCTTGGGTGGCAGTTCTGATTTCTGTAGGTATATTCCCAATAGGGTATTGCTGGGTCAAATGGTATTTCTATTTCCAACTTTTTGAGAAAATGCCCTACTGCCTTCCATAGTGGTAGAAACCATTTTACACTCCCACCAACAGTGAATAAGGGTTTCAGTTTCTCCACAGCCTTGCCAGCATTTGTTGTTTGCTTCTCTGTTGAATTTTGCTATTATTGCTGCGTGAGATGATATCTCATAGTTGTTGCTCTCAGATTTTTTAAGTCCCCATTGCTACTCACCAGTATAAAATGTGGAACATTGTCTTTGTGACCTTGATCATGAGACTTTGATCTTGAGGTCCTGTAACAAGTGACTCATTCTCTCAGAGTGATTGGTTATGGTTAAGAAGTTCTTGATTTTCCTGTATATATGAATATATTTACAGCACTTACAAATACTCTTGATGAAATTTACTGTGCCACATATTTTCACTTTTGCCCATTGAAATTGAGTCTTTCAAGAAAGACTTTATCTTTTCTTCTCTAGCATTCTTTATTAGTGATACATCCATTGTTGTTTGGTGCCGTCGAGTCGTAGACAACTCATAGCAACCCTGTGAACGAACAGCCTGAGCACTGTTCGTACATAGAGATTCCGGACGCAAACCATTTCGGAAGTGGATGCCACTCCTGCTTCCAGGCTTGATTTAGACGGGAAGCTCCAGCCAACACTGTCCACCGTGGGTACCCTAGGCCCAGGCTGGCTATCCTCGCTCCCGGGGACAGAGCAGACCTGCACATAACAATCACATGCCCGGAAAAGCATTCGACTCCAAAAGCTTGCCATGATTCCTGCGCTCTCATCACCATGCTCCTCTGGCAAGGAGAACTTCCCAAGACCCTGGGAGGAACCAACCTGTAGTAGTACTCTGCTTTTTACAAATATTTAATATAAAATTTGGCTTCCCATATTTCCCCCTTTTTGTTTTTATCATAATTATCTGTGTTATTATCTTCTCTTCATTGATTCATTCTTGCCTGTTTTTGTTCTCTCCATCCTTCATATATAAACAAACAGAACAAATCAAGCTTAACTTAAAACAATACAATCTCCAAAAATCTCCATATGATTGAAAGGATTCAGGTTGAATATTCCTTTAGAGTCTATTTCTGTTGTTATATTGCCACAGTCTTTGTCAAAAACCAGTTCTAATTAATCTCCTTTGGCAGCGTGTCCTTTGCCATTTTCCTATCACTCCTCCCTCAGAGAGATTCCACCCTGATTTATTAGGAAATGGGGCACCATATTCTCTTAGCTGTAGGTTTCAGGGTGAAATCTTCTCTCACTACTCTAAAGGGCCCATTTGGCAATAGGAAACACGTAGACTATGGTGGGAATTGATTTTGGAGTACAGATGCACTATTATCAATTGTGCTTAGAGATACAGGTTCATATCCTTGGAGATGCATCATGGAACTGTGGCAACCCTGAGTGAATTTCCTTTTGGTTCCTGGTGTCTGCTCGAAGAAAGACAGACCACCACCTTATCCAAAGAAAAACCACCACCGGGCACCAAAATGTTGCAGACCAAGGACAAAGTATTTTTATAAGTATTAATAATGAGACAAAACACCAAGAGTGTAGGAGAAAAACAGAGATAAAGCAGGAAGCAAACAGTTCTCGAACAACTGAAGGGAACCGATACATCCATTAGTACACTTGAATTACAATCTTTCAAATAAGAACTTCTGCATATTACTAATAATCGGCAGTATTGAGAAAGTATACATTACAGAATAATTTTTAGTCACTTAAAAAGTCTCATCTATGTTCTTAATAATCAGTTTTCCTTTTGGTTCTTACAGGAATTTTTAAAGAAATAAAAATTAAATTTTTATAAATATGTCACCTTTTTTCTTTAAAATAGGAATCTGAAGAACTTTCTTCTGATGAAGAAATGAAAATGGCAGAGATGCGACCACCATTAATTGAAACCTCTATTAACCAACCTAAAGTGGTGGCACTTAGTAATAACAAAAAAGGTTAGATCATAAAGAAAGCACTAAATAATAGAATTTATGAAATAATATTTTAGTAAATGTCATTATGGTACTGAAAAAAATGCCTTTATAAAAGTTTTTTTTAAGAGAGCTTATCAGCTCTTTTTTCACTTAATATATTGATTTTTAAGAACATGAATTTAGGACTGGACTTTAATTCCATTTCCATAGCTTATAGATCTTTATGACCATTAAGTTACTTGATTTTTGTCAGTGTGGATAATTTGAGTTTGACATACAATGTTAACGAAGATTATTTGTGAGTATCGAATTGTTGTTGTTGTTATGTGCCGTCAAGTCATTTGCGACTCATAGCGACCCTATGTACAACAGCCCTAAACCCTGCTCTATCCTGTGCCAATCTCATGGCCTCTGACACACCCATCCCGATTACCCCACTCACTGAATCAATCCACCTCATAGAGGGTCTTCCCCTCCTGCGCTGTCCCTCTACTTTACCCAGCATGATGTCCCTCTCTAAAGACCTGTCTCTCCTTACAACATGTCCAGAGTATGTCAGGCGAAGCCCCAGAATCCTTGCCTCCAAGAAGCAGCCTGGTTTAACCCTCTCTGGGATAAATTAATTTGTTTTCTTGGCAGTCCGTGGTACATTCAAGACTCTTCTCCAGCAGAGTCTCCAGAGAGTATCGAATGGACAAAACATAATACCCAAGTTAAGTGTGGTATCTGGTGTAAAGTAGATGCTCACTTATTTTACTCTTACCTACCCTAAGATTTTTGTTAGCTTTCCTTTCCCCCAACATTTTTTCATGTAACTTAAAACTCTAGCTTTTAGAGGTAAAAAGATTTCTGTCCTTTCTTCTCCTTCCTGCATCAACCCTTCTCTTAATAACTGCATGTATCTACTTTTATTTCCACCAAATATTCATCAGTATTAACTGATACAACGTTGATTCATAATATTTGTTAAATACTTATTAAATACTAGTCATCTTTTTACACTTATCATCTAATTTTCACAAGAGCCCCATGATAAAGAGGAGTTAAGATGAGGTGTATAGCTGGGAAGGAGTCTTATCAGCCTTCTATTAAGCAGTACTTTAAATTTTAAGACCCCCACATGTGTTAAACTAGAGGTCATATATATATACTACTATTATAAATACTATGCTCATAAATTCTGTGGAACAAAGAAAGTATCCTTAGTTCACATAATTCCCTGTGATTATATCTACTGTATACATTATTTCTGTTACTTGGCTTGATAAAAATGATCTTTAGGATTATAAAGAAAATAAGTTATCTTTTTACTCTATTATCTTTTTTTTATATTTTAATGAAAGTTTATAAAGAACTTGGATTTCCATTCACTCATTGTTGCACATTTTCCCTCCCTGTCCCCCAACCACCACTTCGAGTTTTTCTTTGGGGAAAAAATTTCTTTCATTGTTATACAGTCCCTCACCCCAACCACTTATACCTAATCATATCTTCCTTTTATACAGTTCTCTTCCTTGTCTATTTCAATGCCATGTACATTATTTATCCCCTCTTTTCTTAGTTTCCTCCTAACCCTCTTGTTAGCCCTATTTTATAACAGTTGCAATTGTGCAGTGTTTGTCTTTTTGTGACTGAAATATTTCACTCAGCATAATGTCCTCCATGGTCACCCATTTTGTATATTTCATGAGTTCTCTGTTTTTCAGTGCTGCATATTATTTCATTGTGTGAATATACCACAGCATCTCTAGCCATTTTTGTTTGTTGATGGGCACGTGGGCTATTTCCAGCTCTTTGCTATTGTGAATAAAGCAGCAATAAACATTAGTGTGCATACCCAGTTCTCTTATTATTTAACTAGAATTTGAATCCTACACACAGCCGTCTCACATATTTTGGTGTTCAATTATTGATTAACATTTCTATAAAATGTTTTTAAAACCTTAGGAAAAATAAAGAGAGCTAACTTTTTATAAATTCCTTGATTTGTTTGATATTTTTTTTAATTTACTGTAGTG